TAAGCTGTTGCAAGGCAAGTAGTATGCTGTTCCCCTTTGCCAAGGATAATATAGGCTGGAATGAATATAGGTCTGAAAAAGAGGCTCAGTTTGTAACCTGGGTGGACACATGGCTGTTGAGGAATCTTTCACTGCTTAACTAGCAGGCCATGGGAGATCCATGGCCCAGAGCTCATTCAGGGAATACAACCTGGCACATGGCCTCAGAGGCCCCCTGGATGGATCCTGTCTGCAGTACACTTTTGTCACATCAGGAGTCTACCGTGGGCTGAGTGATACTCAACCTTTTTGATTCATTTGTCCTTTCAAGGAGTGAGGAGGAGGGAGTTCAGAGGGAAAAGCCAATTCCTACTGAATCTTTAGAAGAGAAGACAAAAGGGGCGCCTGGGTGGCGCAGTCCGTTAAGCGTCCGACTTCGGCCAGGTCACGATCTCGCGGTCCGGGAGTTCGAGCCCCGCGTCGGGCTCTGGGCTGATGGCTCGGAGCCTGGAGCCTGCTTCCGATTCTGTGTCTCCCTCTCTCTCTGCCCCTCCCCCGTTCATGCTCTGTCTCTCTCTGTCCCAAAAAGAAATAAAAAACATTGAAAAAAAAATTAAAAAAAAAAGGAAGAAGAAGAAGAAGAAGACAGGAAGAAGAGGAGAGAGGAGGGGGAGGAAGAAGAGGGAAGAAGGAACGGGAAGGGGGGAGGAGGAGGAGGGAGGAGGGGAGGAGAGAAAAAGAGAAGGGAAGAGAAGAAAAGAAAAACTGAAAAGAAAAGGAAAAAAGAAAAAAGAAAAGAAGAGAAAAGAAAAGAAAGAAAAGAGAAGAGAAAAGAAAAAAGAAGGAGAAGGAGGTAAGAGGGAGTGATAATTCCTCTGTGCCCCCAGGTCCTGATGGAGTGTTGAGTCTCTCAGACGCTTTAAATAGGCGCCATGAGTTGTGTAAGTGCTGCCCAGCTGGCGGCCTGCCTAGTTCACATGACGGCCATATCTGATGGTTTGGGCAAGGCGGGGTGGGGTGGAAAGGGGCCCGGGATCCAGAAGACAAAGAGTGGGGGAAGGGACAGGACCATAAGTCTTAAAAAATGAGAGATACAGAGCTCATAGAAGTATTGACGTTAATGGCAGCCCTTTATTCCATGGATCTGGAACATTCCCTGCCTTGTGCTGAAGGCCACGCCCCATGGTACCTGAGCCCGCATCCCTCCTTACTCCTGACCTTCACCTCAGGACTCCAGTCTTTGTGTTCAGCCTAGGGAGAACCATAAAATGTCCCCCTCTTGGGGCGCCTGGGTGGTTAAGCATCCGACTCTTGATTTGGGCTCAAGTGATGCTCTCAAGGTTGTGAGATCAAGCCCAGCGTCGGGCTCTGTGCTGGGCATGGAGCCTACTTGGGATTCTCTCTCTCCCTCTCCCTCTGCCCCTTTCCTGATCGCACTAAATAGATAGATAGCTGGATAGATAGATAGATAATAGATTGATAGATGATAGATAGATAGATAGATGATAGATAGATAATAGATAGATAGATAGATAGATAGATAACAAAATATCCCCCCCTAACTTCCTGCTGGGGTGGCTACCTCCCTC